AAAGTATTATTCCTTGTTTTACTTGTGTGTAGTTTTTTTTTTTTTTTACCTTCTTTAACGCAAATGTAAGCAACAGGCTATAAAACAGTTTGGTATTGTTGCCGTCTAAAATCCATCTTCAGTTGGTCAGCATGTACACACTAAGCACATCCAGGTCAGTTTAATTGAGTCCACGCCAAGACCAGCAAAACTTTCAAAAAAGATTACAAATTGCCAGTGTGAAAGCCCCTTAAGTCTCACTACATGGATTGGGCCCCCATTGGAAAGCCCCCATCAGGATTTCACCTTAAAGGAGCTATACTGTTTCTGCAAGGGTTTTTTTTTTTCAGTTTAAATGTTTAGCACCGCCCCCCAACTCGCTGACAGGCTTCTCATTTCCCCTACGCTCTCATCCCACGGAGCCGTCTAGTTTTATTTGCGATCTGATACATATGCTAACATTAGCATTAGCGCAACTTCTTGTAAGCTGTACAACAATCACTGATGAAATGGTACAAAAGCAACGCACTGCTAATAATATATAACTGGAAGAGTACCGCTAGACTCCTGCAGGTCTCTCAAAAAGGATACGATGTAAGCTTTATATGTTCACCCGGGCTTGATTTCTTTGATCATTTCTTCTCTTCCTCACTGTTGTGTCGTTTGGTCCATTTTGCTGTGTATGCAGTTACAGCAAGAGGAGCTATAGCCAATTCTGCAAACATGCTACTTTGTTTAGCAGCGCTGTAGAGGCTAGAGGACGCCGCCAAATTGTAACAGCCCCGCTCCTCGTTCTGTGATTGGAGGAGAGCGAACGTCACGCTAAGTTTCTACTCAACACTTTTTACGGCCTGAATTCATACACAAGCTGAATCAATGAGCTCAAGTTTTCAATTAAATTATGGATTTTAACACAACTTTTATGTAGAAATAAAAAAAATTATGAAATCTTTAGTAAATAAATTGGGTATAGCTTCTTTAATTCATGTCATCAATCCAACACATTTTTGTGAATAAGTGCCAGTATTGGTATTAGTATATACTAAAAAGTGCTATTGCAGAGGACACCAGTATCATGAGGCAGTATGTGTACCATTCCTGTTTAAGCCAGAGCCCTCAATCCCACTGAGGCTGTCAATCTATAAATATCAAACACGAAGACAAATCCAGCGGTCATTTGAAACACTTGTCCGACAGCGTTAAAAAGCTCACTCGCTTCCTTCAATTAGCCCTAAACCGTCAGGACGTGTGGATCTATGGCCGCGTCCTGTCCGTCCAGCGTCTGCCTGTGACGGATGGCTCTCTGAGGACACATCCACCACGAGTCCCACAAGAGCCGGCTGCAGTTTCATTACAGCGTTTGGCACCACCGCCCAGTCCTGTCCTCCACCAGACCTTTCACAAACTACAGACCGGTTCCATTCACTAATTAAGAACAAGTTTGGACCCAAAAGCACACAAATCTGATCTAAAGTATGAAGCTCAGCAGTCCTCCAAGTTATAAAGAGATTTTATGTACATTTTGCTCATAGGATTTAAAAAAAAGTGTATTTGACCCATTCATCCATCCATCCATTTTCTTCCCCTTAATTCATTTCTGGGTCGACTATTTGACCCATAGTGGTTTCAGTGTTGCATCACCCGTAACAGAGCAGTAGGAAGGGGGAGCACAGGACAAGATAAATAAACAATAACTCTAAACTCTAAATAACTAAAATAAATATTTATCTTTTGCATAATAAAGCAGCAAGTATAACATCTCTAGCTTTAGAAGATATTATGCATTATCAAACGTTTTGTGTTTTAGTCATGTTGCAATGTTATTCTTTCATCAGAAACGTTATTATTATTATTATTATTATTATGTGTTTATTTGATAGGGACAGAACAAGAAGCATTGTTACAGGAACCGATGCTGTGTTCATAGACTGTATACAACAGCTAGTTTGCAGACCTGGTCCCTAACTGGAGTTGTTTTTAGATTAATCTGTGCAAGGAACATCCGGCCATACACACGTCCACCTCGCTCCATCTGCCCAAATGCTCCTTATTAGACTCACCGCTGATTCCTGTGGCAGCTCAGCTTGTGTACGAGTGTCTGAACAACCAACAATGTCCAAATTTAAGCCCGCGAGCCAATTGTGGCCCTATGGGTAACTTTGTTTGGCCCTCTACCTTGCAAACCCAAAGTAGTCTTTGAGATTATCTACACAAATTCACAGTATCATCTAGCCGACTTCAGCTCAGTCAATATAGGCCTAAAAAACCTCATTGTTAATCTCAGAACCTCTCGAATCCAGTCAAAACAGTTTTACAATCCAGGTTGTCGTACTTGGACAAGGCTGGTTAACTAAAGGCTGGGACCATTTTATAACCTTTACAATTCAAGTATTTTCAATAAATAATCTAAACATTGAGAGGCTGGTGCTATTTTTGCTGGGTGCAGCTCCCCAGAAATGGATTGAGGGGAAGAAGATGGATGGATGGAATTTAAACAGACATGGAATTTGACAGATTGCAATCTCCCACTTCCATTACTACGGGAGTCTTATTGTATTCTAAAACCTTATTGGGTGAATGCTAATCTTACTTCAGAGAATGCGGGGTCGTTAAATCTAACACTGGACTTTTATTTTCAGCAAGTTTTGTATATTTTTTTTCTTGGATCTTTTCCCACATTTCAGTTGGTTGGATGACAATACATCAGTGTAAACTCTGAATTAAAAATGTATAATAATAATGAATACGGATTATAAACCAGAAGTATATGAAAGTGCTTTGTGTTTCTCAGTCCACTGCAGATGGAGGGTGTCTGAATAATAAAGATCCACAGGGGAACATTGCGAGACTGGAGGAGACTGTGAGGAGCCACACAGACAAATGCTAGTCAATATCACCACTCCCACAGGTCTCCTAAACTAATCAGCTCTGATGCTTAACCAGAATACAAACAAGTACAGGCCCTTTAAACGTGCAATAAATGTATGATTGGAGGCTATAGCACGGAACACATTTAAGCAATATTACTTTCTTAGCGTAGATGTCGCAATAATAAAACATGAATCTGAAATCATATTCATTCACGTTACTCTTTGTTTATGGTAGTGACATCAGACGCCGCTTTTCCCCAGAGACATTATGAATTTCCAGGTTCTTAATCACAACAAAGGTGGTAAAAATGACAAAAATGTGTTTAAAAATCATGGTGCATTGTGAATACAAGACCCTGTATCAAGCATTGAATCGGTGAGTTTGCATGTTTCTCCCTGTGTCTGGGTGAGTTTCCTCCAGGTGCTAGAGTTCCCCAAATGTGAATAAATATAAACATGTCATCGTTCATTTTAAACCTCATAACAGACGGAAAACAGTGAAAAAGTCTTACAGTCCGGGTTAACTAGTGGCCTTCTTACTAAAAAAGGTCTGGGCACCCCATAGGTGAATTGTGTGCAGTTCTAACCGGAGCATTCCTAAAATATATATATTCGTTTATTCTTCGGCCATCAGCAGAAAATAAGAAAACATTTGACATTCACAAATTATAAATTATATACTGACCGAAAGGGTTAGGCTGAAGTTTAGCACTTATTTCGCCTAACCCTATTAACAAATAACAAAATTACATTTCTTACTTATACAAATGTAACAAAATTATATACAATGTAGCGGATCCACAGAGCTTACAGTATTTCCAAATACAATTTTCATTGTAAGAAAATAAATAGTTCGTACTAATTCCAAGAAATATTCCTTGTAATCACATTATATACATAAACACAGAGTATGATATATATGCAGACTACTGCAATGGCCTGCTTACAGGTCTGTCCAAACAGACCTGTAAGCAGCTGCAGTACATCCAAAATGCAGCAGCTAGAGTCCTGACAGGAACCAGGAAGTATGACCATATTAGTCCGGTCCTCAGGTCTCTGCACTGGCTTCCTGTGGCTCAAAGAATAGATTTTAAAACAGCTCTGCTTGTGTACAAGTCTCTCCATGGCCTCGCACCAAAATATATTAGTGACATGTTAGTCCTATATGAACCAGCCCGGACTCTGAGGAGCACAGGGACTGGACTCCTGTTAGTGCCCAGAGTGAGAACCAAACATGGGGAGGCTGCGTTTCAGATCCATGCAGCTAAGATCTGGAACAATCTCCCTGAAAATGTGAGGGAGGCGTCTACTCTGTCAATGTTCAAATCCAGGTTAAAGACTGTTCTGTTTGCCTGTGCATACAACTGAAGGATTTTATCTCCATTTCTAATGCACTGCTGTCATTTATTTTATTTTTTTTAATTTCTTGTGTAATTTTGAAAGTTTTAATGGTTTTATTCTTTTGTGTGATTTTAATGTTTTAATTGTGTTTTAATCTTTTGTGTGATTTTAATGTTTTAATTGTGATTCTGGTGTTTGTTTTATGTGATGATTTGTGATGTGGACTGTGAAGCGCTTTGTGTTGCCCTGTGCATGAAAGGCGCTCTACAAATAAACTTTGATTGATTGATTGATATATATATATATATTTATATATATATTTTTTTTTAATTATTATTATTTATTTATTTTAATTTTCTTCCTTTTATGTATATAATATATATATATATCTATACATATATATATATATATACATACACACACATACAAACATACACCTATACCTGTACCTGCATACACACAGGTTATTATTATTATTATTCTAGTGATTTATACTTTTCTTCAACAATAGCCTTAAAGCGCTTTTTAAATGTGTGAATTGAGGTGGAACATTTGAGTGGCTCATCCAGGCCATTCCAAAGATGAACCCCCCTGACAGAGATGCATCTACTTTTTAAACTGGTTCTCACATTTGGTTTCTTAAAGACATACACACCTCTTAATTCATAAGGACTCTCTCTAGGTTTGAACCTCTCCTGTATGCGCTGAGGGAGCAGGTGGTTATGGGCTTTGTACATGAAAATCGCAGTGTTTAGGTCAACAAGTACAACAAATACAAATACATATTTCACTCTTTATCAAAGCACTCACCTAACGGGGCACTGGACTGACTGACAGCTTTCTGTGAACCGAGGACCAGGAAAAGGAGGAGAGAAGAGATGGAGAGAGTCCTGTAGAGAGAAAAAATATTGGTCAATGTCACACAATAACATTCATGCAGGGTTATTGCAATATATAAAATCACTAGCTTATCTCTAGCCTGGTCTTACCATACCATTGTACACATTTTATTTTGTACTAAGGTCTGAATTGACTCCGTTAACAGTTTGGAGGGATTAACTCCTTTTGCAGACTGAAACAATTGGATCTGAGTTTGCTGTGATGTATGTAATGCGCCCGAGTGAGTCGTTAGGATTTAGCATTTAGTCTAGCTTTAGCCATCTCCTTTGCCGCTAACAGAGCCCGTGCGGAGCAGAGCCACAAAATCCCTGCCAGCAATGACATTTGCTAAACATTCCTCTTGCTCCGGCTTCACTTTCTTGATAGTTGGAACCGAACCAGAACAGATTACTTTACTATCACGTTCTCTGCCGTTGCCAAACTACAACCAACTAATTTGGCGCAAACTCTTGACGCCACCAACGCCCGCCTCCCCCGTTCGCTGAATGGTCAGATGGGATACAACCGAGGAAACTGCAGTCACAGGGACCAAACCCAGACATACATAGACGTAGGGAAATAATAATTGACCGGAGTTTAGGAATAGCTAAGGCCGGGCTAGCTAATCTCTATATGACAGACTAAAGAGTACTACTGAAATACTTTCACAAAACCTGCAGTTATGTACAATGTTACTGGTCAATCTATTTCTTAACAAGAAATATATGAGTTTGACTCCAAATAGACACTAATATTTGTAGCCAAAAATAAAGGATGTCTTCATCTTTTCCTGCGATTGTGTCTAACGGAAATATCATCAAAATCCGCATCCTGATTGAGAAGACCATTGTTAGAACAAATGTAAAAATGCATTGTATTTCTGTCGTTGGAGAAATGACGCTAGAATTTGCTTAGAATACAAACACTTGCTGATTGTGAATGATGAGAGCAGGAATTGTCATTATTGTAGAGTAAATTACTTATTTTGAGTGTTGCAGCTATTTAACTTCAAGATTATTTGTCTTATTAGTGTAGGCCTTTATAATCTTTATAATCTGCCAATTACTTTGTATTTCATCACCAGATGCTTGAAATGGTCTCAAATGAAATGAATAAACAAACTGGACTGAACTAAAACAGTTTTTAGAATGAAAGGTATTACATTTTCTCTTTGTGGTGACAAATAGCCTCTGACTCACACACGAGCCGACTACTCATCCAAAGAATGAATCAACAGATTTGGGGGAAAATCAAAAAGTCACCAATACGATTTGTAGAAAGTTAAATCTGTGGAACTTCTTTTAACTACTCTGGCGTCATCCCAAAGTCCAAAAGCCTGATTAAAATAAAAATGTGTATGAATTAAAAGGAGTGGACTCAGCAGAATATGGAATGCATCTGAAAGCAGGTACATAAACAATGATCTTCCTTTGATAAGATAGATACTGTATATTACTATAAAGAATAGAATATTGACCGAAGAAAAAAATAAACTAACTAACTAAATGTGCATATACCTACATTTAAGTAAGTGAATAATCTTTATCTATATAGCGCCTTTCACAGATCAGACTCATAAAGCGCTTTACGATTGGTTGTGGGCATTTGTCACTCACTCCACACAGAGATGGGAGCGGGGTTGCCATAAAGGAGGCGCATGCCAGAACTATTGTATATGTTTTTAGTGGTAGGGAAACCAGAGCACCCGGAGGAAACCTACACAGACACGGGGAGAACATGAAAACTAGAACCAAACCGCTGTGAGAGCTAATTAAGGCTGCGGTCACATGCACAGCCTAAAGCCCGGTTAAAGTGTGCCAGGGTCCGTTTTGCAGTTGGATCCGGGCTTTAGGTGCCATCTGACGCATTTGCGCGGTTCAAAACTGCGGCCAGGGCCCGCTTCCCAGCGCAGATGAGGGGGGTCAGTGTCGCGGGTGGTGGGGAGTGGGGGATTAGGTGTGGTGGGGACTTGATATTGTGCGGCACATTACGTCTTCCTGTGACACGCATTTTCACACACTCTCCCTGCACTTTTGTATTCTTCGCTTGTGTCAAACCTTTCATATAAGCCTCGGACTGTGGTCGAGGGGCGCTGGGGGAGTGTCTCTCTGCAGGGCCAAAGAAAAGCGTTTCCTACGGGTATAGCTCTTCTGTCCTGACCCTCACTCTCAGTGTGGTGCTTTTGCAATAACACTTCAGACATTCAAGAATCAGTCTTTATTTAATCACCAGAACACACACACACACACACTTGTAACCTCCCTGTCTGCGGTCGCTCTCTGCGTACTCCACACTTTTCATTCTTTCATTCTCATTCATTCATTCATTTCACGCTCGTTGCTAAAGTGTGTGTGTCTGTGGTGTGTGTGTGCACTCGTGTCCGCGGCGCGCGCACACACACACACACACGTGTGCACTCACGTTATCCACACGTTACCCACTGAACTGCTGCACTTTGCATCAGAGCAATTTGGACAAGTGTGAGATGTATCTCTCCCTAAACAACGCGATCCGCACTGAGCTGTTAGCTAGAGTAGCAGAATGTAAACAGGAAAAGAAGCGGATCTCAACCAGGGCAACGAGGTAGTCTCTGGTGTTAGTATTAACGCCACCAGCTGGACCGAGTGTTGTACTACAGCACAATTTCCCTGGCATGGTTCAGACAATTCATGTGTCAGTTCATAGAGGCGGTCCCTCCAGTTCATGTGACCACGGGCCATTTTCACACCCCTGTGGCGACGATCCGGGCCACTTGGCCTCGTTCGATTGTAAAAACCTGTGTGACCGTGCCCTAAATCTATTCCTCATGGTCTGAAAGTTAGGTACCTCAGCTTTAAGTCGTTCTGTATTATACTATCCAAGAATCCATCACATAATCAAGCTTAGATAGCAAATATTCAAAAGTACCCAAACTCATAGAGGACAGAAGGAGAGAGGCACAAACAGAGAAGGATGGAGCGGATGAGACGAAGCAGCGGAGTTAATGTGGCGTGGTGATGATCAGGCGCCGCTAGTGGAGCCCTGGAGGGACATAAAGCAGCGAGCAGCCCAGGGCCAATCTATTACACACTGACGGGAACACACACCTCACGCCAAATGACGACTCCGTAAATAAACCGCCGTCCAGAAGTGCGCTGTTCAGAAGGCGGCCACAGCTTCTGCTAAGAACACAGCTGGAGTATTGATCATGGGGTAATTTACGGAGCGTTTATAGCACGTTTTAAGAGTCGGGGACCTGAAGTTAGCCTATTGAATTTAACTGCTGCTGAAGAGTAGGGAAGCAGGACTACAGCGGGTTTTGTCCTTTCACAACTTAGTGCATTCATTCACACAGCTATAGAATTGGGTGATGAGACGGCAAAGCAAGTTTGTTTGTAGAGCACAATTCATACACAGGGCAACTCAAAGTGCTTCACAAAACAATACAGAAACAATCACACAAGGCATTAAAATAAAAAGATAAATATTAACTTCATTAAAAAGAGTGAAGATACAATCCTTAAAGCTGCACTAACTGACTGTATTTTTGTATTCATTACAAAAATGCTATCCATGTCCATGCATGGATAGCACTTTGAAGAAAAAGTAGCGCAGATTTGTGCTGGCGTGACATTATATTTTAGATCGAGTTTTGATGAAACAAGGAAGAAATGTGTTTCGGGTTGCAGATTGTGACCAATCACAGCGGACCACTAGCCCCCACTTTCGTGAGAAATCTACAGGTCCGTTAGCATAGACGGCTGAGTTAGCACAACAAGCGTCGGAGCTAACCTGAAGCTTCCTCGTCTTCGTCACCGGTTACTGCTTACACAGCGAGACAGCCATCCAAAAGAAAGTCCCCTTCCTTCGCGCTTCCCGGTTCTATCGTTCTATGGTCACGCCATCCACGTGCAAATCCATATCCAATTGGTTCGTGTGTGATGGGTGTGGTTTGCGTGATTTTGCCGTGTGGCTGCGCACCACACACTGTACGACCAAAGTGGTTAGACCCGCGATTTTTTATCTCCGTGTGTGGGGTCTCACACAGAGAAAAAAATCGGCCGATAATTATAAAATCGTCTCATGTGAGCCAGGCTTTAGTTGTATGCACAGCTAAACAGAACTGTATTAACCTGGATTTGAACATTGCGTAGAAGCCTGTCTCACATTTTCAAGAAGACTATTCCAAATTTTAGCTGCATGAATCTGAAATGCAGCCTCCCCATGTTTAGTCCTGACTCTGAGTCCCAGCAGGAGGCCAGTCCCTGTGCTCCTCAGAGTCTAAGTTGGTTCATACGGCTCTAACATTTGGTGCGAGACCATGGAGAGACTTAAGTGCAGAGGAAACCAGTGCAGAGACCTGAGAACTGGACTAATGTGATCGTACTTCCTGGTTCTAGGAGCTGGAAGATGTTTTAGCATGACGATCAAACAATCCAATGTAACAGGTCTTCTCTATAATTCTTGTTCTCCAGAGGCAACACTGGAGCTTTGTTTTGGTTAAATGTATTATTTTTTTTATCACAGAAGTTTCATTAATTATAGGCCTACAGCTAACAAACTTTAGGCACTTTATTCACTGAAGACCCATGCATTTTGACCTAAGTTGAAATGCCTTGTGAGACTGGAACAATAGTGGCAAAGATGGTGATTTCGGTCTAATAGTGATTTTGGTGTTTATTTTTTGTGATGATTTGGGCCTTGTGTGTTGCTTTGTGTTGCCCTGTGTAGGAAAGGAAATCTATAAATAAAGAATGATTGTGGCGTTTGAACCTGTGTCGGCTAATCACCACAAAGAAGCAAGGAAAGTGTCAAAACAAACTTTCACAATCAGTTCTTTAATAAACGGCACAAGCCAAAATTCCCACGTGTATTTCATGCTTTTTTCTATTTTTCTGTCATGGCTGTGAAGCACTTTGGGCAGCTGGTGTTGTTGTAAATGAACTATACAAATAAAGCTGGCATTGACATTGACTTGAATGTGCTTCATCTTTTCTTTATTCTTTATCAGTGAGTTTACAATTTGACTTGG